ATTCTGCTATCGTTGCCACTACTGTAGGTTTGGGATTCACATCCTCAATCTTTTACCTATGTGAGCAGACAAGTGTTAGATTCGATTGCTGGGAAGAGATATTGCAACCTCTAAAGCCCATCACAAGTGTTAATGTTGTGAAGTCTTATATTCACAACATTCGATCTTTGGCTGGAGAGGAGGATTTTCTAGAAGTTCAGGTGCCTCTACTTCTCATGCTTCTACCTCACGTGCATCAACATCATAAGCTCAGACTTTTGGTTTTGATTCACAGTCACATTTATTGCAAAGAATGTTAGATAACATCAATTATACTGCACATAAAATATTAAATTTAGAGAATTTTGTAGATCATATAGATGGTTATATAAGAAGACATAGTGATTATGAAGAAAAATTTCACTCATCTTTGAAAAACCTTATGAGGGGTGACCAAAGTTTAGTTTTTCTTTCATATCCACAATATCCATCATATGAACCTACTGCCAGGTTTTGGGATAACAATGATAGTGATGATGATGAAGAGGAGGATTAAATTGAGTAGTTTAGTTTTTTTATTATTGTGAACTTTATGTGGTACGGTTATACTGTATTGTTAATGTGTTTTGTATTGTACTTATTGAGACTGCTACTATTGTTTGTGTTTTGTTCTGTTAGACACTGTTGTGATGTATTTATGTTATTGTGAGTAGTTATATTTTATTTTTGTGATAGTAATTGTGTTAAATGTGTTGTCTAGTTTATTTTGTTAGTTGTGTTGAACTTAATCCTGAATTTTAGAAAGATTTATAATATTACTAACTTTCACTTAAGAACTTCATGTTTAAAATTTTCAGTCTACTACCAGATATTTTCTTTATATTACAGTTGTGAATTTTTGTTAGTGTATTTGTTTGTTTTTATATTATCCTCCGCTGCATAGAAGTCTAATAAACTCTAAATTAAAATTTGATCAATTAATTTTTACTCCTATTTTTAATTTTTTTACTTGTATATTTAGGATATAAAAATTCTTGTAAGCATATTATTTTCAGTTTTCATTTCTGCCAATATATAAATATGATGTTGTAATGTTTTATCTTATTAAAAATTAAGTTTGGGGGGATGAAAATTTTTTTAAAACTTGAAGTTTATTTGTTATGCACTACAAATAAATTTGATTTTAATTTGAAAAAAAAATGATTATATATATGAAGTTATATTAGGGAAGTAAAATTTTGAATATAGAAATGAGTAAGAAAATTTAGTTGAATCCTATAGTAATGAAGGAAAATTAAAGTTAACATTTTTTAGTGTAAAAATGATAAATATTGTGTATCTATCTTTAGTAGGAGAAATTATATTTTTGAAAAATATAGAATGGTTAGACTTTTATTTTTAATGCCTAAATTTCTTTTATTAAAAATAATTTTCAAAACTATTATTATATTTTTAAGTAAAAGATTTATATTAGAACTTTGTTTTAGGAAAGAAAGAGTGAAATTCAAAATCATTAAAAGTCTATCCAGATTTAGTAATCATCACCTGAAAAAAAAGAGAAAAAGGAAGTTGAAAAAGGGATGAGAAGCTTGAGGATTATTGTATAATCAAAATTGGTTCTACATCTGTTCTTTTTAAAGTATAAGACTTGAGAAACTCTTTAACTTAAAGATATAATATATAACGTATAATTATTCTTAATAAAGATTGTTAAGTGGAGAAGATAGAATGCCTAAACTTTGTATTTGAAAAACTTACAAATATTTCTGAACTAGATAGAAACTCATATTTTCAGACTTTTCATTAAAAATTTCTAAAGTCTAAGTTGGTCTCATGTACTAATATTTTTTCTAAATTGGACTACTATATTTTTAGATCACAATTTTAGAATATCCTAAAGGAACTCATTTACATAATCTACTTATTTTGGTTTTGAAAGATTGAATTGTCACTTGAAGACAAGTAACATTTTAAGTTTGAGTGATTTTAATACTCCTAAAATATATAGCCTTTATGTACACATTTTTATACCTAATTTTGAGATATTGTGCTTTAATGGAAGGTATTTGTGTATTTTTCTTTCAAGTACAATCAAATTATTGAAAATGGTAAAAAGGAGTGAAAAAGTATCAAATTTGGAGCAAAAATAAAGGTGTGCAAAAAAACTGTGGCAAGTGTCAAGTACCTCGCGCTCAAGCGTCAGAAATAGTTAGTTGATGATTCAATAAATTTGGATGAATTTTTGAAGAGGTCTTTAAAGCAACCCTTAGTGAAAACGTGGGAATTAGTTAATGTACACAAAAATACATTCAATTAGCTTTTGAAAGGAGGCAACTGTTGGAAGAATCATTGAATGTGGATATATTTTGAAGAGACACAAAGACACCTTTTAAAAAATTAAAAAAGTTTTGAAGAGACACCAAGACACCTTTTAAAAAATTAAAATAAAAAATTAAAAAAGAAGGACTTGGATTGGATTGAAGAGACTTCCTCCCACATACGCCGCCGCCAGGACTTGGATTGGATTGAAGAGACTTCCTCCCACAGACGCCGCTCCCCTGTAGATACGACCGACGCCTCTCTCTCTTAGATTAATTAAGATACTTTTAGAGAGGAGAAAAAGAGAGGAGTTGTAGTGTGTGAGTAGAGAGTATTTTAAGAGAAAGGAAGAGAAGAGATTCAAAGGAACTTCAAGAGTTTGCTGGAGAGGATTTAAGATAAGTTTTTATCTTTGTGACTACATTTGATTTTAATTTAGACTTCTTGTTTGTTTGCATGATTTCTACTTTCAAACTTAAGTGTGGTTGTGTTTTCTTTATGAATTCTGACTTATTTTCTTTATCTTTTTCCTTAACATGATCAGTGATTAAGTATTGGATGAAAGTTGTGTGAAGTATTTATCTTTAATTTTGGAATAAATTATGGTGATTTTAAATCTTGTACTTCATTTATTTCTTGATTTGGTTAATTAAGATGTTAATATTTGTTGTGACAACATGTAAGGTTTGAGATGATATTGTCTTAGTCAACTAATGGTAAGAATTACATTAGCTTGTATTGATGAGAATGTAATTCATATGATTGAGTGCAAAAAATAGAGGAAATAATCTTTGAATGGTGTTAGAATTAAAGGACTTTAGAGTGACAGACTGAAGCCCCCATTTTGGTTTATAGTTTTAAGTTTTGATACGAGATGTTAGCCCTCAAGTGGTGAAAGAAGATGAAACTATAGAGTGTGAGCTAATATCTTATCTACCTAACCCGTCTTCATGACTATTCAAACTTTAAATTAGTCAATGTTCTTTATAGCATCTCTAGTAAGAGTAAAGAATATTATTGTTATTATTTGACACAACACAATTTTAACACTTCCACAACATAATTCCTATACTTGTTACTGAATATTGATAAGGAAAAAAAAATTTTATTTATAATGTCTCCATCTTACAAATATCTAGTTAAGTTTAGTTAGTTGTTTACTTTACTTTCAATTATTAAAAATTACAAAGAGAATCGAACTTTCAATCCTATTATAACATCTTTAGGTTGAGTAAGAATAATTTGCAACGTAGAATTTGTTATCTAATTTCTTTTGATTTTAGTTACATATTGTATTTTTTCCCTGTTGGTTCGATATTTGGGCATTAATAAAAAAATTCTATATTACTTGATAACGATATGTATACTTGCGTAGTATCACATATTTAAATATAATAATTGAATTCTTATTGCTTTGAAGTCAAGTTTTTGACAGACGTTGCAAAGTGAAGAAATATAAGTAAGGAAAATTAAGATTATAACTGCATACATCGTACAATCATATAAAAATTGGGATCAGGCGTTTGACGGGTGTCGACGACGATCGACGGTGGTCGATGACGATTTGCGGGAGGCGATGATGGTCAGGATGATGCTGGACTTCAGTTCCTTATCTAACGACATTTAATAGACGGACGGTCCGGAGAGCTTCATCCGATCAAACGACATTTAATAGACATTTGAGTATCGTAATGATGTTAGAATTACACAATCTTGGGCTCATTGGATTCATCAGGCCGAGACGCTCGATTCAACTATAAACTTGCCAGATTCGACAATCGTTTGACATTCCAAATATGTTCGAAAATCTTTCAATAATAGGTTAATGACTTGATCTTGGCTTGACGACTCAAATTGAAATGACTTTGATATCATTAGGTACTTCTCATCGAGCCGGTCAGTTTAACTATAAGTTTGCTGAAATCAGGGCTCTGGATGAGTTTTTTTTTCAAGGCTTGAATATCACTTGCTCAAAATATTATCTTGAGATCCGTGTCATGTCTCGAGATTCGTGCTGGATAACGAAGATTTGTTGGCAGCATATCAAGATATAAACCCGGTTGAAACAAATCTAAACTTAACTGAAAAAACTTAAATAAAAGACAAAATAATGATATTCTTGAAATATTTCAAGGACTTCAGGAGGCCAAATAATTATTTTAATTATGCTTTTTTAGTTTTCTTTTTTTATTTTGGTGTTGTGATGTACTTAATAATTTTTTAAATATTTTTTGAATTTAAAAGACTGAATTATGAGCTAAAAAAATATTTATTATTTACAAAATTCCAAAACATAATCAATTTCGAAAAACTAAAAATCAGATTTTGAACTTACCGACAGCAACCACATTTGTAATTAACAACCACCACAACAGTAAGTGTACGAGGAGAGGACAATATTTCCTCATGCTGCTCTTCCTTTGCTTCGCGGACGGAATCAAATAGTTTCTAAATAAATATTTTTACTTCAACAAAGAAAATAAAATATAGTCCATCACAATTTATTTGAAATCGGACAGCAAGCATTAATCGCCCAATCCTCACCCAACCCACTGTTTCATTTGGGACCCACTTTGCCAGCTCCCTCTTTTTGGGTGCAATAATTTCGGTGCATTTAAAGTAAAAGAAAAAATCATTATTGCATTCCTTTATTTCCGCCTCGTTACATTATTCTAATAAAATCTCTCTCTCTCTCTCTCCACTTGTCTTCTGTCAGTCAAACCGATTGGTCACTGTACCCTCTCTTGCGGGATATCTTACCGCTGCTTGCTCCCGCCGCCGCTGTGGACGAGGTACCCGAAACTAGGGTTCCGGTAGTGAACGGCGCTGCGGGAAGTTTGATCCGCAGGAGAGGTGACTGCTGAGGTGATGACCTGAGAGCTTCCAGCTCAAGATGGGGTGCGTTCTTGGTCGACAAGCTCCCTCGCTTGACTCTTCCCGCCGCCATGTGGACATGGATGTGGTCGCGGCTTCTGGGCGTAAGTCACAGGTGGGTATTCCGAAGGTGGAGGTTGTTGCCACAGAAGGCGGAGTTGCTGCGCAAGAGGAGTTGGCGCAGGAGAAGCCGGCTAGGCCCAGACGGCGATCGAGGGCTGGCAGCATTCCTGGTCAAGCAGTTGGAGAACAGGTGGCCGCCGGTTGGCCGCAATGGCTTTCAGAGGTAGCTGGTGAGGCCATCAAGGGCTGGACTCCTCGCCGCGCGGACAGCTTTGAGAAGCTCGCTAAGGTGATCTATCTTCTACTTATCACTTATTTTCATTTCACTGACGTTGGTAATTTATTAGTGTTGTTGCTCGATTCAGATCGGGCAAGGTACTTACAGCAACGTGTACAAAGCGAGGGATAGCGTGACTGGCAAAATAGTTGCACTGAAGAAGGTTCGGTTTGATAATTTGGAGCCTGAGAGCGTGAAGTTCATGGCGAGGGAAATCCTAGTACTTCGCCGCTTAGATCATCCCAATGTTGTGAAGTTAGAGGGATTGGTCACCTCGAGAATGTCATGTAGTTTATATCTAGTGTTTGAGTACATGGAGCATGATCTTGCTGGCCTTGCTGCCTGCACACCTGCGAAGTTCACGGAGCCTCAGGTTGGATGCATAATGCATTAATTTTTCTTTATTTTTTTGGATTTACCTCATCTTTTACAGGAACCTTCATTTTTAAAGAACTATAAATTGGACAGGTGAAGTGCTATGTGAAGCAATTGCTATCTGGGCTTGAACATTGTCATAGCAGGGGGGTGCTGCACAGGGATATCAAGGGTTCCAATTTGCTTTTGGGTAACGACGGGATACTTAAGATCGCAGATTTTGGATTAGCGTCCTTCTTTGATCCAAATCGCAAGCAACCCATGACTAGCAGAGTTGTCACTCTATGGTATCGGCCTCCTGAACTCCTTTTAGGGGCAACGGATTATGGTGTTGGTGTGGACCTCTGGAGTGCAGGTTGCATTTTAGCAGAGTTATTGGCTGGAAAACCCATCATGCCGGGACGAACTGAGGTATGTTGATGTCAATTTCTTCAGCAGAAGCAGTAACTTAATTATTAACTGAAGATTTATTTGGTTTAAAGTATCTGATATCTTGTTTAGTTGTGCTTCATTATATTTGACTTCTAATGCAACAAATGAACTCAGCACATTCGTATTCATTCGTGCATGGATGAAACCTATAAAAACTTGCCTGCAGAAATCAGTGTTTCTCTCTATCTGATGAATTGCTTCGGACTTTATTATTTTTTTCCAGTTATAATATCCTATAATCCTGCAAGATTCTTAATATCAGATGAGAACTTGAATCATTTAGACTACTTTGGCCATTGATAAATGCAAAGAAATTGTGACCTTAAAGTTGACTTTGGATAACCATTGATAAATCTTGATGGACTAATCACACATCATGGTTAACTTTTGAAACTGCTGATTGGATTATATGATAGGCGCATGTTTGCTATTAATCAAAATCAAAATTATGGAGAAACTTTGCCATGTCTTGTGGCTAGTGGATTCACAGAGATGGATTAATTATGCTTGTATGTTACCATATCACTTGACTTTTGTCATTGGTATAAATCAATGGAATCAAATTGGCTAAGCCCAAATGATATATATATATATATATATTTCTGCTCGTTCCTTGGTTGTTGTGTCTAGCTCTCAACAGTTGTACTAATCTTTTTATTTCTTATTATATGGGCAAGAAGAGACCCAGTAAACCACAAGCCGAGGTCATTAACACAACATTTGGAGTAACCATTGAGGACATGACGTCCATGGATCCAAATCCTATCATTCTCACAACGAGCTTCTGAGGCGAGATATAGCAGACATAGAAAAAGAGCAAAATTTTTATCCTTCCGTTACCCAATGTAAAAATAAATGGGGGTAACACAAGAACGATTCTATTCATAATGATATGGATACACATATCTCCGTCTTTTACCAAACTTTGAAACTAGTTGGTTCGCCAATTCCATTCAGATTGCTTTCTTTCCTTAGTTGAAAGCCCTAAGAACTAGATGTTTGGCCTAACGATATTGGTTTCTTAAGTTTTTGTATTCGTTAATGAGTCTTGCTAATCCCCATCAAACGGTTAAATTCTTTTACAGGATTTACTAGTTATTCAAGGGCAAACCTACCAACCTGAAGTCGTGCTCATTAACACAATGTTTGGTTTATCATCCCCATCAAATAGCTTATTTGTCCAATAGGTTTGGTTGTTTCATTGTAGTTAACACAATTTTTTTTAAATCTCAGTTATCATATCCATCAAATCCATGAAATGGTTGAGCATTTTTAAGCTCAATGATCCTAAATTAAAAGGATGATTTTTTGGTCATCCTCTTCTTACTCTAGGATGAAGGGGTTTATTCGCTTTTCCAATGCCAAGATTAAAGTGTCTAGCATTGATTCTTGGAATGCCCAAGTGGGTGAGGGTAGGATCCTTTTTGTGCTGTGGATGAACATAAGTTATGAACCCTTTCAGTTAAAGTTATAAAATTCACATACCTTTTCAGAGGCTTGGTCTACGGTTAGGGTAGCATATTTGACTATGAATAAGAGAGGGTGAGGGATAGGTTGAACTTGCTGGAAGTGTGATGTCGAAGCAACAATATGAAAACATGAAACTCAATAACCACATATTTTTTCTCATTTAATGACTCTCTTGGCTCTTGGTTTTCCTCTTCTCGATTCTTTGTTTTCTTCTCCTTCTCTTGTTTTTCTAGTTCCTTTCTTTTTGCTTCTTGCTTTGTTATGGAACTACCCATCCTCATTGTAGAACTTAGGTGATGGAAAGAAGGGGAAAGTGATCTTTTATTAGAAAGAGAAAGACTCTCAATTAAGATGGGCGAGATAATTTTGGTTTTTATTATCATTTATAATTGAATAACTTAACATAAACTACTAATCATAAATAAAGTAATGGGCGAATAATCCAAATTTAAATCAAACAAGTCTAAATTCTAGCTAATTGGTGGATGTTGTGGGATCTTAAAATTCACTCCTAGCTCTAAAAGAGTTTAATTTTGGGTCAAATTTTTTGAAGGTATATTAGATTTTAGATAATACACTACCAAGAAAAATTTTCATTGTTTTACAAAGACTTGATGGTATCATTTTAAAATTCTCATGGGTGCAAGTCCCCATGATTAGTTATCCCTCTTAACGAAGAGAGAGAACTTTCAATTAAGGCTAATTATTTATTGCTTTGTGCTTGACCCATAGGATAAGAAAAAAAAATTATTATTGTTAGCTTTGCGTAGGGGTTGAGGGAGGAGGGGTGACGACGAGCCCGATCATGTTCTCATTGTTTCGTTGTCTCTGGTTGTCATGGATCTTGGTCCATTTATTTAAAGGAGATTGTTGGCCCAACTTTACATAAAGTTTTTTTTTTAGTAGCATGGTGCTGCGTTGTTCGAGCGGATGTTGTAGATCTTAGATGGATGTTTATCTAAGAGAATAATTCCAATTCCATCTTTGCTATGGGGGCTTTGTTTTATATAAGTGCACTCCATGGTTTACTTCTTAATTTATTTGGTCCATAATTGTATTGCAGGATTTGGTCATTATCATAATTTATTGGTACAATTCTGCAACAAATCCCCTAGGTATAGGGCCTTGATTATTGCTGTACTTTTTGTGAGCACATTTTGCCACAAATGCACCCGATCAGAGGGAATAGGACAATTCTTTATAGGCGCGATATCTTTGAGAGTGATCATAAAGTTTATGTTTGGTATGATTCGACTCTCTGTTAGCCTGTTAATATTAAATTTATCATCATTCGTGAATTGTTGTAGAGAGTGAATAAAGTTGTAAAGCTTTAAATGATACACTTCTCTCGAGTGATTTTGAACTGTATGATTTTTTTGAGATATTTTTTTTTAATCTTAATTTAAGCCCAAAATGACTGCGTTGGGGTTTGGGAACATTTTGATGATAAATACTCTCTGATTGAGATTCACTGTTAACATCACTGAGTATTTTTTATTTTATACTTTCTCACTCATTGATTGGTTTACATATATAGCCATTGATTTCAAACTGCTCCAGCTTATCTTACTGTTATCTGGGTTGCATGGACATTGGTTTTACTTCTATGCTGCAAATCTGAAAGAATGAAATTCGTCACTTTTATAATCAGTGCAGAGAAATATTAATGGGATTCATTTTCATTTGGCAATGATTTTTTTTTCAGTTAATATATTACTTGATGTCATAATAGGAATCTGGTTATGCCTTAGTTCCATTTTTATGTCTTATGATGATTTGGTTGGCGAACCCTTAAGGAAGCATTGCTATAGGCATGTCAAGAAAATTTCCATCTAAAGGAAATGGATAAAATTTCCTTGAAAATTGTTGCAGTTTGTTTACTCCACAACAATGTTGAAGCACAAAGCATAATTTTATTTTTTTATTTTGTGGCTAAGTTAATCTGTTGTTTTCCCTCTCTCAGGTGGAGCAATTGCACAAGATTTTTAGGCTTTGTGGATCTCCTTCAGAGGAATACTGGAAGAAGTCAAAGCTGCCACATGCGACAATATTTAAACCACAACATCCATATAAACGCTGTATAAAAGAGACTTTTAAAGATTTTCCTCCTGCATCCTTTTCACTTATTGAAACTCTTCTGGCAATTGAACCAGCCGAACGTCAAACAGCTTCTGCTGCATTAGACAGCGAAGTGAGTATTTATATTCCAACCGCTTTCCATATTTTAAGAGTTCTGACTATCAGTTACCAAATACTAAATTTCAAACTTAAACTTGTTATATTCTTTCTCTATGGAGTTTATCATTTATGCTGTAAAATGGAAATAAAAAAAAAATAAAATTTCTCTTAAATTTATTATACATCGCCAATCAACTTATTAAAAAGTGGACAAATTGTTCTTAATAATGCACTTCTTCTATTTGTCCTTTAAAGCACCAGCACGAAATGGAAGACAGGATTTCACTGTTTAACTGTAGGTTTTGATTTGTGATTTTGCTCTTTATCCTAGAACTTCATAGTAACCAAGCTTTTTGGCTGAGCATTAAAATATTTTTATCAATGAGAGAAAGGTTATTTTTATTTCAAGAAATTGATTCAAACGATTGCTATTGATCTAAGAGGGTATATGTATAGGAATAAGCATGAAAAATTTCATGTATTTTAAGCTTGTGTGAATGTACACATAATAACCCACACGAAGAATTATTTTAGTTTTCTTGTTTTAGGTAGGATTTCTTCTTACCCATTATAGCTTGACCGGTATATTCTATTCATGCGAATTCTAGTTAATCCACGATAAATTACTCTCTACATTTTTCTCTTCTTATATGGTCTGACCTTGGCTATTCTCTCTTCTCAAATTAAAAGAGCTCAACCTACCTCTCTCTCTCTCTAGTTGTTCATCACAACACATCTCCCACTTGCCCCCTCTCTCCCTTAGTAGTCTCTTTCTACACGAGATTTAAAATGGAGTGAGTTAATTGCGAGCAAAGAGGAAGGAAGGAAGTGCCGTCAAGCATTTAAGGCATGCAAAGAAGAAGCAGGGAGTTTGTGGGTAAGGAGGAATCAATATATTGACCAAAGAAGAAGAAAACGAAAGGGCTTCAATCATGGGGGCTATATTTAAGATTTGATAAGGCACCATTCTTTATATACTTTTTCAGTTGTGAGCCGTGCTTCTCTCCATAGCATTCATTTCCCATATGTTCAAGCAAAGTTTCTCTTAATCAATTGGCATAAGGTTTGAAGGAAGGGAACTATGGTTTGTCTTCTTATTACAAGGGTCCTCCAGACCATGCAAGTAAAGAATGTATCCTGAATTTTCATTGATTGTTTCAATGTTCAAGGCTAACTTCATAGCTTACCATTGAAGCCCACAATCTCTAGTTTATAGAGTTGAATATGGAATTTATCACTATGAATCCTTTTATTCTTGATCATACTAGCATAGAGTGTCAGTTTTTGACTTGTTGTCTATGAGGTTGGAAAAGGTTAAAATAAGAATGAATCACGTTGAGCTAATTGAGGCCGTTGAATCTTAGCACGATATAAGGAGAAATTTTTTAAAGTCTATTTACAAAGCTTGTGAAGTCCTTTTTGCTGAGAAAGAATTACTGAATGCCAATGACAGATACTAACAGTAGATTACACATTTAGACTTATAATGCATAAATAAAATTCCCATCTATGCTAGTAAGCTTTCTTGAAGAAGAAAGGAGAAAGGATAGGTGATAGGTCATGCTATCTCTATATTTGATAAAAACCTGGCATGCTTATGTTGAAATTAAGGACCGAGACAACCAATTAAGAGATATCATTGCCAAATTTGTTCATCTATTGAAATTTAGTCATTAAATTTGACCCCAACAAAAGATGTATTACAAGGTAATTAGCGATATCAAAAAGGAAGAAAAATCTATCATCCAAAAGAGTAATTGAATAGGAGTTGCCATGTGCGATAAAACCCTATTATGAAAGGAGCTTAAAGTGCCACTCTTTTTGCTGATTCAAAAAGAAGAACAAGAAGTTATTGCTTCATCATTTTTTACAAATTTGAGAGATGAGACACTATCATAGAAATAAATAAGTCTAAGTAGTACAACCACAGTATGATTTTATACATCTGTAGAAGCTCCTAAAAATGAAATGATATTCAACTCCCATGAAATAAGTAGCTTTCAAAAAAGAAAAAAACCTAACATAAATTTTCTGAAAGAATAGCAAACAAATATAACAAAGTTGTATGGTTGGAGGTTGAAAAGTCGGCCTTCCCCTACATAAAGTTGTGGGAGTGAAATACTCCTAGATGTGAAACTAGAGATCCCGTAATGAGATAATAAAGTTATGCTCAATTTGACAATTCATTTGAATGTGACTTTAAAAAGAAGTATCCTAATATATTGGACATCCTATCCCGAACGGATCAAAAAGATAATATTGGTTGAAGTTCTAATGGATCAATTTTTTTGATGGAAATTGTCGGTGGTTTGTAATATTTAGATCACACCTCTTAGATCAAAGAGGATGTTACTAGGAGTTTGTAAGGGCAATCAAATCTTTAGTCAAACATTATATGTGAGGTGATCAATGCTCTAGAAGCCGGTGGACTACTTGATCAAATGTCATATTACAATAAAGATAAGTATGGATCTGAATTTTTTAAACTTGTTTGGAAAATATTTTATTTGAATTGATGTCCAACATCAATTATTTAAATTTATCATTGCTGCAATTTGCATATTTAGAGGCCCGCTTTCTCCTAAAAATACAATGAAGACTTTTCTAAAAAAATTTCCTCATCTTTTCTCTACACCTTAAGAAATCCTTCAATCTCAAATGTACTAAGGACTATAGGAGTTACAAACTACAATCCCATAACAAGGCGTGTTTATTATTATTCCTGCAACAGCTTTATGTCAGGCCTCATTACTTGTTAAAACTGTAGCAATACCTCTGGTACAATACCAGACACTCTAAGAATAAGCCACTATTTGTTTTTCTGCAAGTTGCTAATTGAACTTGCTGTTACCACTATTTTTATTTGCCTTGCTGTTGCTGCTTTGGCCCAAATTTGCTAAGGCTGGAAACAATAAGTCTAATTGATGTTGTAAACAATCCAGTTAGAGCTAAAATACATGTGGTGTTGGAAGGGAATTCTGCCGCAGTTTTTCTTTCTGAAGGCTACTAATTTATTTATTTATTTTTTTTTTTGTGTTTTGATTGCAAGGAATAGCAAGTATCTAAGGAAGAACTAAACCTATTATCCTATCTACTACTTCACAGCAAATGAAAAAAATTAGTACAATGTTTGCTGTGAACTGTAGAATAGGGCCTAAAACAGCTGTTCAACTTATATCCCACAGTGATAAGGCCAAAAAAAAAAAAAAGAGGGAATTTGCCATTATTAATGGAATGAGGTGAACTAAATAGTATTCCTAAGTAATGGCTTAGGACATTTGCAAGAGTCACCTAAAAATGAAAGGCTGCGTAAGTTCTATGAACCATAAATCAAAAGAAATTTTGAAAATCTACTAGAAACTTATTGAAAGATCAACATACAAACAAAGTGAAGTGTTATAATTAGGTGGCTAAAAAATCAGCCTTCCTCCACCTAAAGTTGTTATTTCATTGAAGGTAAAATCCTCCTGAACGAGGATTGGTAATCCAAGGGACTATTCAATCTAACTATAAGAAGCATCTTGAACAATTTTTGCATCAGATTGTGAATGAATTGAAGAGACCATCTCCATCAAATTTTCGAGTTGTCTTATTTTCTTGATAGAGATCACCAATGACAGTGATTTTTATATTATAATTGTGAAATCAAATAGGTTTAATCAAAGGGGATGTTACAAGGAGTTTTTAGGTGCAAGCAAATCAACGCTTTTACATCATTTGAAGGAAATCAAACCTCCGGAGTTTGAAATTGGATTTAAATTCCGACTGGGATAATTCCTACAAGGATTATTGTTCAGTTTGAAATTTCTTAATGATAGGATTTTTTTAATCTTTTTGTGGAGTTGGATGAGAAATGTGCTCGAGCTATATTGATGAAATTTACATATTTGAAGTATTTCTGCAGTAAATGAGCTGAAAATTTCTCTAAAAAAAAACCAATACTCGTTCTCAATTCCTCTTTGAAAATTTTCATTCCTTGAGCGCTGCTTGTATTTTTTCTGTTTGGTTCCATAGGAGTCACTTTCTACAATCTCATAAATTGCATTATTTATTCTTTTCCCACTGTAACTCAGGTCCTGAGGGTACATATCACTATCTAGAACTATGCAGAGCCACAGCTACAGTATCTTTCACTATAGCACATGTGCTAGCCTCTGTTTTTCTGTAGGCTGCTGAAATGGGTTTGCAACAGCCCTCATTTTGAGTTGTATCACTGTTACTGCTAACTGATTTGTTATAAACTTGCCAAACAAAAAAAAAAAAAGAAAGAGAGGTTGTCCATCTTCTGTATTAAGCAATCAAGCGGTACGTCAAGGGAAATCTATTGTTGTTTTATTTCCGAGGACTGCAAAACTGTTTTCTCTATCTGTTTTCTCCTGCAATTTGATTCCAAGGAGATAGCGCTTATTTCCTTAAGTAAGAATAATCCCTTTTTGTTCTTTGGTACATTGCAATAAATGAAAAAATAATAGAACTGTTTACTTTAAACAACCGAAGAGGGATGGAGAGTAACCATTCGATTGCTGTTCCACAGAGGAAAGGCCAAAACAAAAGATTAATTTGTTGCTCTTAATTGGAACTGTGGCAAGCTATGCAGTGCACATATGGTATCTCTTTGGATATTTGTTTGAGTATTTTAAAAATAAAATGCTACATAAGCGTCATAAAACAAAACAATCTTCAAAAAGAAAAAAAAAAGTTACTGGAAGCTTCCTGATAAATTAATTGGCCACCATAAGAATAGTTGATCGGCCAAACATTTAATTTTCTCTACTAGAACTTGATTCCCAATCTAGGATACACAGCAGCCCACAACTCCGCCTCCTGCTCCTCGCATAGTTGCATCACCTAATTTCCTCCAAATGCCTCCATGTCCCATTCTCGCATAGAGCTCGTGCGAATACTGCCAGTAGTTTGAACTATGTGAGGAGCTGGAGGTAAGTATTGCTTGATGGTGGATTGCTGATATGGTGATTATATCATGAAAGGATGGCTTGTCTAACCATATCCTTC